GCCGACCAACACCTCTTGAATCTTTTTTTCAAAAATTGATTACCATCTATCCATTTTAATTTGAGGTTAAGGTTCCACCCAGAGGATTTCTAAATTACCTTCCCTTTACTTTCCGTCGTGAAATTCGACTCTGAACGGTCTGTACTCGTCGCTCTGAACAGGGTTCAACCTTTTGTTAAGGCGCGAACCGAACGATAATATCGAGGTGGTCGACACTTGTACAGTTGTTGCTATAAATATAGGAGTTAGTGTTTTACACCGTACTCATACTTACTATCCGTTAAGTGGGTGGAAAGCTGTTCGTCCTCCCAGCGGCGTAAAGCGGAGAGCGTCCACGTAAAGCGAGTATATAGCTCCCCCGACGTGTATCATTGACGATTTCAATATACATTCGCAGAAATTGTACGTTAGTGCGTAAGATTTATTAAGGTCCATTCGTATTAAGATATGTTAGGCTCGTGGTAAATCCGACGGGAAATGTGTACGGAAATGAAAACGATGTTAAGGGGAGGGCGGTACGAACGGCCATATTGGAACGTCGAAGGAAAACTTGTCGTTCCAGCCATCGTTACGCAAAACGTCCACGATTAGGATTAATGTTCGTTAATTACGATTAAGTGCTGCCTCTGTATTCGGGGATCCCTTAAACGAAGCGACGCCTTAATCTTTAAGTAATCGCCTACGGGTCTTCGTAATCAACAGCCTGGTTCGTAGAAATCGAAGAAAATATTTATTTTACACAGTGGTCGCTATGATTAATCGCTATCACGTGCGTCCTCGCCTAGCGGCTACTTAAAGATTAAGAATAAAAATCGTACCGTTCGACATGCGCATTTTCGAGACCCAACCGAACGTATTTCCGTCGCGTACCCCCCCACGTTGTACGATAAACTATTTTTATAGTAAATGCTTCGGGCGTGGCTCCGTTCCGACGATGAGTTTTCCTTCGACGCGTCTCGCGATCCGACGTAGTGAAACGTCGAGACGCGTTTGGTTGGTCGTTGTCCCTTGAAAAAAAAAAAAAAAAACAGTTCCCCCCTCCCCGAGTCTCCCCTCCCCCAACAATTCTTCTTTTCGTTTCCACTTATATTTTTTTTTCGTTTTTTTTTTTTTTTCGAAATATACATTTATTGAAAATAATCGTTCTTGTATCTGGTCATTGTTCGTTCATTCTTTTCATTCTTCGTCCGAGTCGTCGTTACTACACATCGTTGCTCCTGATTGTAGCCCAGTTATACGGATTTTCCTTTGTACTATGTTGCTCGCATGCTCGTCTGCGTCGCCTCGTTCGCGGCTTCCTCGTCCAGGAGGACCGACTCTGATTCGCCTGGGTGGCTTCTACAGACGTCGGATGGGTCGACCGGGTCGAGTTCTATTGGTTCGGTAGACTCAGGTGGCTCGAATAGTCTGGATGACCTCTTCTAGGCTCCTAGGTCTCCTTCGGAGAGACTTGGAGCACTTTGAGTACGGTGATTCGGGTGTAAGGGCACGGTTAGGTTGGATTGGTTAGGTTAGGTATTCTTAACGAATGATCCGAAGTCATGAACGAGTCCAGGGTCGGTTGAACTAGGCCTCGAAACCTGAATTCTGTGTTGATGCTTGGTCCAGGTCTAATTGTTCAGATCCCTCAGGTACGATATGACCGAAGTCACCTTCGCTTTGAACGTGTTTCTAATCAGAAATTGAATTTTAGGGTCTTCAGGTACCGTAAACAACAGGAGCAATACCAGAGTTCGTCCCAACCTTCTCGACCAGGTCGACTTATCCAGGTTCTCTACGATCCTCTCTACGGAGTAGCCAGAGTCCGGATCCCCCGGAAGAGGAATCGCGTGTCCATCGCGTGCCCGGGGCCAACGAATGCCCCGGGCAGTGACCTCCCCATACAAAAGTAATAAAAGCTTTACGTTCGTTCATGTATACGTTCGATAATCGTGATCGGTGTGTTTTGGTTCGTTCGCGCGCCACGTCGTCTAGGCGGAGCCACCGCGGATCCGCCGGGTTTACCCCACGACGACACGAATAAAACGTGCGCGCAGTCTTCGTTACGATCGAATCGGTGTGCGCAGTCGTTTGCGAAAATTGAATTGAATTTAGCTATTTCTTTTGGAGCAGCGTATTGTTCGTCACTGGTCGTAGTTAGTCGAGGAGTCAGGCGCCTATACATATACGTTATACCCGCGAATGAGCGAATCGACGCGAGAAACATGGCGGCCCGTCGCGGACCGACCGGTTCGCAGGCTTTGCGTTCGTTCATACGCGCGTATACATCTGAAATATAATTATATTTATATTTATATTTATATTTATATATATATATAAGACTGGTTCGAGCATCTCGTTGGCCTGTTCGAAAGAGGTTAGGCCATCGTCAGGGTGCCAGCGCCCATGCCGAACCCGACACCCTTCGGACCGAAATTTCGATTGTAGCAACCGCGACAGTAGATGTCGCCGTCGGGAGCGTCGTTCAGGTTCGTCGAGTCCAATGAACGGTGGCACTCGCCGCAGCTGAAGCAACGCTTGTGCCACAAACGGTTCTTCGAGATCATCTGCTCCGCGGCGTACACCGGGTAGCCGCAACGCGCGCACCCGTGACCGTCGTTTCGCTTCTGGCCGACCTGGGGCTTTGCGTCGATGCTGAAATTCAGAAATAAACGCCGCCGTGAGAATTCCGGGATGGATATAGTGGTTTCGACAGTTGGCCCGTTAGGGTTGGAGGGAAGAGGTGCTGGGGGACCTAAGGAGGTCTGTTGGCGAGACTCTTTGGGGAGAGGAGATGCCGAAGAGGGGATTTTCAGGATTCCGAATTCGTAACGCTGTTTGGGTTGAAGCTAGAGATGTGGAAGGATTGATTAGGAAACTGTGAGGAGGTTTGTTTTGAGAGGAAGAGGCCTTAAGTGACTTGTTGAGGTCAATGAATGAATCCTTCCCGCCGGAAAGAGGTGGAAGCCGGTGATTCGTTAAGGAAAAGGGAGTTCCCAAGATTCTGGACACGTAATTTCATCAACAAGGGACGGCAAGATTGTGGCAGGTCAACTGTGACCCTGTCAGAGCATTAGTAGTGCCTAGAGGAGGCCTTAGGTGACTTGTTGAAGTCAATGGATGAATCCTCTCCGCCGGAAAGAGGTGGAAGCCGATGATTCGTTAAGAAAAAGGGAGTTTGGACGGGCAAGATTGTGGAAGGTCAACTGTAACCTTGTCAGGGCATTAGTGGTGCCTACAGGAGGCCTTAAGTGACTTGTTG